CCCCCCTCCCATTCGTAAGTACCGCCCTTTGTTGATTGTAGCACCAATAAGAAGCCCGCAATAAGCTCACGAAACCCGCCCACACTGGGTAAATTTACATCCTTCTTATATATAAAGCAGTAACTTGGTTTGTCGGTTTGTCTGTATGTCGGTTTGTCGGTCTGTCCGTCCGGGTTACTTTGTGATTATGATAAAGGTAGTGATATGGAAAACTTATTCTTCTCATATAAAAAGCAGTCACTTCGTAGGTAGGCTAATGGAGTAAAGTGAGCACTGCGGAGTGAAGCGAGTAATATGAAGTGAGGAGGATGATTCAAATTGTGATCTCTACTGTACTGTAATGGCAGTACTTCGACACTGGTAGAACAATATAATAACACAGCGTTCTTATATCATACCAGTAGTAAAGAGCACTAATATTGTAGTATAGTATTTTAATGGCATTATATATAAAGAAGTACACAGTTGTAAAAAAATGTAATAAAAAGGTGTTACAACCATGTAAGCACTAATTCATTAAACCGTTTTTTCCAAATTTTTGATTTTCATTGCAGTTTACATAAATCAAGTGCTATAAACAATCACGGCATTACTTATTAGCAAAAACTGATGAGACATAATGTGTACAGTATACCACCACTCAATGTTAACTAATGATATCTAGTAATAACGGGTCAGACTTACCGTACAACATAGTGCGGTTTTGGATAGCCACCAAAACTGGTACCAAGTGGGTTGTTTACCGGATCGGCAAACGTGCCCGCAAGACGTTCTGCCATGCGGGGCATGGCGATTGCTTGTTTGTGGTAAATTGGCCAACAAACAAATGATTCTATTCGGTTAGCGATGTGCCATCAAGCGATTCTGAAAAGATTTGATCAGGAGAATGAATTGGCCCCATCTGAACAGCTGTTTGAATAATAGGACCTTTAGCAACAAAAAAAAAATCGCTAGAATGTGACTATGAACAAGTGTCTTGATAATAAAGACGTAAAGGCGGTCTTATATTCCTAGACGGCAATTTATCACTTTTTTTCACGATTAGCGTTCTTTTCCATAGTCTCAGAAGAAATTTGTTATAGCTTGATTCTGTTCGGCCGACGGACAGCAGTTGTTAAGCATGTAAAAATCACAGAATGATCAACGGTCAAGCCGGACACATTCCGCCAAATCCATGGTAACCGAGTGTATGTGCGAGCGTGCCAACCCTTGAAAATTCTCGAGAATGGCAGATAGAAGTAACCTCGTAAAACGCTATGTATGTAAGTGACTACTCTTTACTGGTAAGATAAAAAGCTAGGTTAGACATGGAACAGGTCAGCTTCGTTGAAAAAAATAGTCAGTCCAGATGCATTGGTACAGCTCAGAACCCTTGAGGCTGATCCATCCTCCTTCGGGATACGCCCCTGCATTCGACTTGCATTCAGAATCGTAACAATGTTTGGATGCGTATGTTTATTTAATTGTTGCCTGTTATAAATAAAGATAAAAGCCTAATAAACAAGCCTCAGTGGATCAGCTTTTCCTGTAGCATATTTTGCAGCTACAAAATGTGATGATGAGTAATGAAAAGATGGAACCGATGAGTCACGATGGAACTTCGATCCCTACTTTTATTACCCAGAAAACAGACGTTCTCCCAAATGTTCGTTAGGCCATTGATAAATGACGAGGAGCACCAAATAGCACTCGAGAATGTAATGAAATAAATCATATGAAAAGCTCATAGTCCTTGTGCCTGGTAAAGCGTTCCACGAGTGGGGTACTGTTGGGTATGCTTCGAAATTCATTATAAATTTCACTACGGTGGCAGGAACAGGAATGATAGGTGATTTAATGAAAAAAAANNAAAAAAATTACTTCTAAGGTGAGCCCACCTAACCCTTATCCTTTCGTTTAGATAGGGATTGTCACTTCTCCGATCCTAATCCGGAATAAATTTTTACTGAGAAAAATAGTAAGTATCCTTCGAAATCCCTATGATTTTGCTTCTCAAAGGTACATATTGCAAACCCAGAGACTTCGAATTTTCAGAATAGTCAAGCGAGGGAACGTTGCTGGTAAGCGACGAAACTTTTTATTTATTGAGTTGACTCCTTCATGGCCAGCAGTACCTTTCCAACTCATCATCTCATCGTCTGCTGCCTTATTTCAAAGGTTTAAAAATACTACGTGCCCATGTACCAAAGACGACCGTGGTCAAAGACAAGTAGGTAAAGTATGTAGTGCCGAATGGTTCGCTATTACACAATCGTTCACTGGATCAAATCCTGAAGTGATACACAGCTTGGTCCCTGATTCGATCCAAAACGGATTGACCGGAACCATCAGAGAGTAGATTGGCACTGACTTGGACATCAGCTAACCCCACGCACCCCTAAGCAATTGTATTGGCCAAACTAATTTACAATGGAACTCATATGGGTGGAAGCCTCCCATAAAAGCTTGGTCGATGGTCGAAAGCCTTATGTTCCCAGTTGTCTCTCGGAGACGGGCATTTCTCTGTTGGATCAGATCGAAGGTGTGGTGGTGGTGGGTATTCAATGGAAATTCTAGCAAGAAAGAAAATGATGTGTGAAAATTCGAAAAGGTTGGACATCAAGTGACCAGAACAGAAGGCAAACTGGAACTGGAGTTTGCTTCCAGAGATTGAGTCTAGAAATTCAAGTTGAAATTTGGGAATAAGTTGTCTTATCAGAAGATTCACACCGAGAGAATGGAAATACTCTATCAACAGGTCGAAGTCAGAGAAGCTTCGAGGAGGTCCTACACTCCGTTAAATCTTCTAGATCAGGATAATGATAGAACGAAAGTTTTGACAAAATATTGGGATTGTTGGACAGAGACTGAGGTTTAAGGACCTCGAGACCCCGCAGCTCAAGGTGGTGGTCCTGAATGGAATGTATGGCTGGTATTCAACACTCTACTAACGCCACACCTATGATGTGACGATTATCCTCTTTTTACGGAAGAGCTTTTCAAAATTGAAACTTATCATACGGAGCAAACTGATCACTTCCAATTTTCTGTTTTTGTGTGAAAGAACTAGCATTATCCCTAAATGAAAGTAATTTTTTGACCATTCAAAATCTGGTTTCCTTGGCAAAATAATTGAAGAAAGTCGAAAATTACTGGTAACATCAGGAGAGACTGCCCCTGTCTGGCTAAATTTCCTTCCTCATCTCGTAATGCGATGAAAGATCGTCACTAATGTCAGCGGGACATGGGGGCCGACGAAATGCAGACAGGCGGCCGATCCTGGGCAACTGCAAATGCCATAAATCTTTACATCGTAACATTCGTTGCACTCGTAACCCGAACACCACCTTAATGGATTCCGTGGGTCTCGAACGGAACTCAACAACAACATGTACATTGAGGGTATACAACTGAAGACCAACACAAGCGACTTCACATATTTCCGTCCCCAGGACCCCGCAGTGGCGAAGACGTCATTTCTGCAGGCGATCTCCCCCGACCAAATCTCCTAGATGTTTGAGGTTGAGGTGTGGTAATTAATTCGCTTAGGTTGGCGATGATTTGGGTCTGAATCGGGTCACTGTTCACAGTTCAACTGCCTTAGACGAGTATGCATCCAAATACATCTGCTATCTAGATGCAAATCGATTGCATGGCGTGACTGGGAGGATATTCAACGCCAGTAACTCAAAAACTTTCTCATCTACCATCTATGAATGACTGCCTGGNCATCTGCAGACTTTGCAGATCGAATTTCACCAATGTCAAAGAAATCTTTGTCAGGCATAGTACTGGTAGCAGACTTGTTTTTGATGACAACCGTGTTGAGCGGAACGTCAAAAATCTTACGGAAGCCGTCATTCAAGCTGAGAGTAGGTGTCGAGATGACTCTACTATGACACTTGGCATTTACCCAGGGAAACCTTGAGCTTTGACTTTTTCCGGGAAGCTATCTTCCCGGACCCTCTTTCTTGGTCGATTTCTGATCAGCAAACCTTCCCAATTATTCCTGGGCAAAATGAAAGCCAGCTACCTGGGCGATTTCCTAGGTGATTGATTATTACAATAGTCAACCTAACAAAAGCCATCTATCAAAGCTTTTGTAACTTTTTCAAAAACTTGGCAATTCTGCAATGTTTAAAGTGCCAACTGCACCTCCCATAAAACTCTCATTGGTTCATAAATTACCGGCTGACGAATATTTACAATCTAATTAAAGAAAGGCGAGGCCTCAGCTTGCTTACCCATTTTTCACTGAGATTTTACCAGGAAAACTTTCCTAGAATATTCGAGAACAGCCCAACACAATCTTGACCTATTTAGAGATTTTACTCCATGAAATAATAACCACGAAAGAGACAGAAGTTAACCTGAGCCAGGGATGAAATTCATGCCAAATTTGGTAAAGTCAAATATTAAATCGATAACTAATTCAGAAATAAATCCTTCCCCCTAGAAGATAGACTCAGTTGTTATTATGGATTACACTTGGAATTTTTTTACTAAGAGTGAACCAGGGAATAAACCCGGCAGACCGACATCAAAAGGAGAGTTGGGGCCATAGTGGGCGAATCATGGGCCTGCGGTTGCGAAGCGGTCACTTTATCGACCTGTCGGATTTTTCTAAGGGAAAAAGGATATTCTAAAATATCGTATGGGACACTTCCGTAAGGCCTGAGAATTCTTGGATAATCAAAGCTCTGTAAGGCTGTGGAAGGCATTGAATCGAGGCATCCTTGATTTTTTTAATCTTTCAGTCATAACCCAATTATCACACAAAAGACAGAAGAATCGGCTACTCAAAAAAAAAAACGAAGAAAAATCAACGCAAGCAATCTCAAAAGTGAGCAAAACAGTTAGTTATGAGTGTATAGGCTCCGCCTCATTTAAATTATGTTTGGATGAAAGGAATCAAAAATCCAGAATCGATTCATTGGAGATCAAAAAGGTCGTTGATCGCCCGATCACCACATGATATTCCACGAACATTTTTTATTTATTTAAAAAGGAAAGTTTCGCAAAAATGGAAAGAGGCAAATCAAAATATCGAAATCGATTTGCCGAAGACCAAAACGACACCAACCTACTTATAAGCTTGTCACGGAAAGTGGTTCTTCAGAATTTTTTCATTGATCAGAAATAAAAATTGGCTAAAGCGAAATAAGGTGAATCAAAAAGTCAAAATTAATTTTTTTCGAAACAAAAAAATTTCCTGCGGTCAGGAGATTTTTTCTGATTACCACACCACAAAAGTGAATTTAGTGAGGCTTTCGTCTACGCGAGAAAGGTTCTCTTTTTTACGATTTTCAGAGTAGAGTAAAGCCAGAAATTACAGCGAAGTGCAAGAACGTTGAACGAGGTGGCAAAGTTTATGAAGAGGAGAGGTGAGATAGATGGTGTATGTGTGTGTGTACGAATGAAAGTCGTCGGATTTCAATTAAGTGCCGAGAGGTGGTAACAAGTGCGAGAACCCCCCGACATGCTACCACTGGGAGCAGCTGTTCCGGTGGTGGTGCACATTGAGGAATCTCTTGAACAGCAGCACATAGCACATATATCGGATCTAACCCCCGGAACACTACCCAGAACATCCTCCCAAAGAAGGAACCTTCAAAACAAAAGAAGCATAAACAGTGGGTGAGAAAATTTTCAGAAAAATGAAAACTTCCTTCTTGATTATTTTTCAGATTTCTCTAAAATTTTTAAAAATTTGATCAGAATTCGTCCGTCATCTCAAAGGAGCACGGAAATGAAAAAGTTGGATTACCAATTGAAAGTCCGAGAATCGGCTGGTGAAATATTCCTTCTTGTTCGTAAATACATGCAACGTCGAAGCAGTATTACTTCATTTTTTAAATTTTTTTTTCTGAAATTGGTAGCCGACCATGTCCTACTTTTTGTCAAAAATACTAGTAGTTTCCAACAGGGGAATACCTTTTTTTCTAATGCAATTGAAAAACCTAAGCCCTCCTAAATACATGCATTCGCCTACTGCTGTACTACATAGTAGTATTGAAGTCCCGCATCAAAGTCACAGTTCACGATAATTCAATGGGCGGAAACGTCAATGGCCTTCCCGCCTCTCGATCGATGTTACGTCAGACGGTCCCACGAGTGTCGAGACAATACAGATTGCAACTATTCGTTCTAGGACCCACACGCAATCAGCTGATAAGAGAGTGATGAGGGCGTTTTTCTCCCCTTCTTTTTTACTCTGTTACTCTTTTTGTTGACGCGATCCCTCGTTTGATTTCCTATTCCCTGAGGCTGAGAAAGGTGAACAGCTTTTGCTGTTACTAGGGTTTTTTTGTTTACTTATGCTTATAAGCAAATGAATTTTTGCTTACCGTAGTCAGTTACTTGCAACGAGACCCACACGTACGCAATGACGCACTGTGCGCAGCTCGTCCAAACGCCCCACTCTTCTTAATTCTTCAGGTCTTATTCTCGTCCAGCCCCCTGTTTGACGGTTTTTTGAAGCCTTTTTCACTTTGAAAACACCGATTCAGCAGTTTCTCCACCTTCATCGCACTATTTTCGATCTTGTCGTCCATTTTTCATCATAATCTGGATTACCCAGAATTATCGCGAACTGAGCCTTTAAGCAGAGATTACTTAACTGAGACCTGACTTCTAAGCTTCTGATTTCCTTCTAATGATTTTTAGCTTCGAGTCGTAACTCATAAATAAACAAATAAGTAAGCATCTATTCTATTACTATGCATATTAGTTATGAAGGAATGAAGAAATTTACAAAAAACTCACCTAATCAAATATGTCCTCAAGTAGGGAAGGAGAGAGAAGACAGGTCCCTGTTGAACTCGCCATGCACGTTCCTCTCCAATTGTAATCGTGGAGTCATTAGAAAGAGTACAAGGCGTTGGAGATTCATTGAGATCTATTGAACGAGTCGATATTGAATGCATTTTTCCTGAAGAATTTTACACTACACACTCAGTTGCTACGCTGTTTTTTATTGTTTTTTTTTTCACGGAGAGTTGGATAAACTTCGACATGCCCGTAAGCACCACCTGGGATGTTCTTTTATCAGACAGATAAAAGATAGGTGAGAAATGAAGAAATTAGAGAAAATGCGCTTCTGACCGATTGGGGATGAGGTCCATACGGAAAAGCTCATAAACTCAGAGAAAGTAAATACAAAACTACTAGTTGACAGAAAATTAAAAAAAACAAGTTCGTCTTAGTCTTGCAAAAATTGTTTTTTGGCCAAATTGAGTTATTCCAGACAAAAAAAGCAAAACTTGTGCATCTTCTCCGATTAATAAGGCATCAAGGCGTCACTAGTTCGTAAAAAGAAAGGAAGTCCATTTTTGGAAGTCTTCGCCCAAGGTATCCGTCCCATCGGACTAAATCGGAGTCACCATCACCCTTTACCTAATTCCGGGGGGCTCCCGACCGGAAATACCCCACACAGTTCTTGCATTACGCAGATTTCGTGATTTAGCAGTGGAAGACAATGACAAGGAAGAAGCACCAAACAATAGAAAACTGAAACATACGGAAAAGCTCACGTGAACATATGTAGGAAAAATTCAGGACGATTTTGCGTCCCAACAGGCCATTCGAGCCATAACACATAGCCCAGATTACTGTATTACGAAATCCGCGCGCTTCGGAATTGTCGGACTTGACAATTACTCAGTGTTGGCTGTTAAAGCCTTTTCATTACAAAACAGCATGTTACTACGGTACTTCTAGTTTTTAGTAACTCCTTCAAACCAGCAAAAAAGATCCAACGGAAGTGCTGGGCAGTCGCAAATATGCAGAGTAGGGCATGAGTTCGTTCACACGATGTTTCAATAATGTTACTGGTTAGTTGTCTCGAGTCGCCAGTTCATCTAGCGTAAAAGGAGCGCATTTCTGTCACATAGCCCTATTTTCATCGTCTCGTTTAGGGAATGCAGACGTAAAGGAAGAAAGTCTCCTGCGCGTTCATGATGATGAATAACGACTGCTGAGCTCTCGCAAATGAACGCCCATTTGACCCCTCCCAGACCGAAAAAATACGACCCATTTCCTGAGTGAGTGTTGAAATATGCAAGACTGTTAGGGCAGGTAAGAAAGGATGAAAGGGGGGCTCATCAGTCAGATGAACCAACGATACAATGTATAGGGCAGTCATGTATGTAAGTACTATAAAAAATAGCAATCAAGTGGGCGATAGGTCCTGAATGGGTGTTGACCTGCAGTAAGCGATCACTCCATTTTACTCATTATAGATTTATTAGATCACAATTTTTTACGAAAAAATCGATATTCGTAAGATCGATATCGAAGAAAACAATAATCGACGAAGACTACTATGAGCATGTCCTCCAATGAATGAAAAAAAATCTGGGAACCGTTCAGAAAATCAATAAAAAATAAATACATCACAAACACCGGAAATTCGTAACATCGTCACTGTGACTTACATAAGGAGCAATAAAAACTGGTAAATAAACCTGTCATGGTTGACCTTTTTTGGGCTATGGGTACATCAACAACAAGGGGGGACAAAAAAAAGTAACTCGTACTGGCAGATCATGTCGATATAGTTGAGTAATATATGGAATGTAGAGTTAAAAGGATGTGTTCGCTACTGGCGTGACACCGTTGGGTTCAGAGATGGGTCTCCTGTGCTTCACTGCTCAGAACGATTCTTAGTGTTTCACTGATACGTCGTTGCATCAGTGTGCGAGGCGGTTGGGCCCCATCACTGCAATACAAATCAGTTACAATGAAAATACATTCAAAAAACATTCAAAAACAGAAAAATGGGTGGCTTTCAGGAAGGGTTAGGGAAGTGAAGGGTAAAAGTCTCTTCCACCGAAAGGGAGGGTCTGAAAGAACCCGACCAATTGATGAAACCTTTCTGGTGAGGGAACCGTTTTCTGGGAACTTTTTGGAAAAAAGCGACAAAACTGCTGGCGATGGTCCATTGGAGAAAAGTTTGGTATGGACTTGAGAACCAAGCTCTGATCAGGATTATCACCTCTAAGTGGTAGGATTTCTTGCCCTGGTCCTGATTCAATCATTATGTCCCGGAGATCGGTCTCCTCAGTTAGGTCCCTCCAACTACCACCACCTCCAAGAACTTCGCTTTCCTCAGGCTGGGCCAAATCCAAAGTGAAAATCGAGCTTACACTGGAGCTGCAAACACCAGCTCGTTTCCGATAGCCGTCGATCTGCTAGTGATTGATGGGAAAGCATCGTCGAGAATCAGAAGACATTCATCAGGATTGCATATGTCTGAGACAGATTGAACTCGTTCTTGTCCTCGTGAAACTCGGAATGTGCCTTCTTCAGCGTTTGTAACATCTGAATTCGTAATGAATGAGTAACTGAAGTAATCAGTGATGAGGAATTATTCTTTCAAGGAGTATTTTACAATTTAAAATTAACTTATTCAAACGGCATTCTTTTTTTGGAAAAATTGCTTACAATCAAGGAATCGCCACTCTTTTGATGGTTCATACGGCAAACAGGGATGATCATCAAGGAGTTTCTGGATAAGTGCTCGAGCGACATCGAGATCGCTTTCTGATTCCAAATTGATTACACCAATTTCGAATGCTGAAACGGAGATGATCAGTTCTGCCAAGTGGTAATGTACTAAGAGAGGTAACAGACGTGAAGAAAAATCTCAAATTACTCAAGGTATTACAATTGTCGTTTTACAAATATCAATTAAAACAACTCAAAAAAGTGGTCCCCATCGGGGTTTTACGACTGTAGCATACAGTACCCTAGATAATCCCCTCAACTACACTGCATAGCGTTTTTCTGATGCATTCGATTACAACTAACTTTAAACTCCACTATGTACCTGAAGTTCGCATAGGACAGGTATAGCTGAGGTAACCTTTCATGTTGACTTTCAATAAGCTTTTTCTTTTAAAGCTCTCCCGGTTCTCAGATTGGAATTCAGGATCTTACGAACTGGATAATATGTCTACAGTATACCTGTTTCTTTAAGTCGATCAATAACATCTTTGTAGGTATCGTAGTCATGCCGTCCAACAACAATCACAGGCAAATGAACGATCAATGACGTTGATTGCACCTGAACCCTCTTGAATAAGCCATGTTCTAGGGAATTTTTCGTGAATTCCCTTTATATTTAAATGAAACTTAAGCTGCACTTTATAAATTTCATGTTGGATCAGAGCCATAGAGCTGCATTTCACCTCTTTACAATATTACATTCGACCGTCACGATTTCTAACCGTCTAGGAAATAATGGATGGATTATTCTATATGGCATCCCTTCCTTCACCCCTCTCACACTCCTCTCAGAATTGCAGATATGGCCCCCTTCACGGCAGATTCTCTAGCTCAAGCTACCCAAGCGTTTTACTCTGACCTCAACTCAAGACTACGGCTAAGAAAGGAGACTGCTAAAGACGTCAGGCGAATCTTACCCTACTGCCGTGATTCTTACCCTTCCATCTTATACTACTTCTTACCTTATCTTACCACGATAACAGAGCCGCTAGGTAGTTTTCCTACCCGATCCGAAAGTCATGCAGAGAGTTTCGATAACAAAAACTTTCTATGCGAAGCCTTTCTAGAAAGAAATCTTCAGTCAGTGAGAAATAAGCACCTGTGAGTCCTTTTTGTCAGCTTTTGTATTACGACGAATCAGATTCGGAGTACAAGCAATTTTCTTTTCCCTCTTGAGCATGGGAACCTGAAAACAGCTCCTTACGCCCAGATTACTGTGTAAATGGGAAGGCCATACTTACCTTGCTATGGTAAGACAGATGAATATGCGACGGAGCTAAAAGGCATGGCTCTCCATCGACCTGAAAATGATCTGTGACCGGATTCTGTTCAGGAGCCCTAACTAGTAACATCATACCTGCATGGGAATCGCTTTGTATGTCGTCACGCTGACTTGGGAACACTGAGCTAGCCGCTCTCCTTTTCCACCCATTTGAAGAGCAGCCTAAAATAAATATTGAACGGTGCAATCGCAGTTAGTACTGTAACCGTGAAGGGCTATGGGTAAAATGTGCGGTTTCGAAGCAGGATTCGGGACTGGAAACCTCACCATGTAGAGGATTTCCTTATCCCACGGGTGGACACTCCATTGACACCTTGCCACACCCTTGAAGTGTGCACCGGGGGAAGAAAAGATCCACTTTGCAAGTACCCTAGTAATAGTACGGAAATCTCACTGTACGATACCTAAGCTGAGAACTGTAAAAAACCCAGTCAGTCTATGAGAGATTCCTAAAGGAATAGCAGAGGTCTGAGAACGCCCAGAATAGGAAGTAGCCCATTCACAAGGCTTGCAACCTTCCGAATAGGCCACTCAGGGTACGTTTTTAGCGAAAATAAGGCTGAAATTGACAGAGCGGATCCGAAGGTGAAACACCAAAAATCCGAACTTACAAGCGTAGCTGTCGTAAATCCGAGCACTTCGATACGGCCATCACAGCAACTCGGCTTCACACTATCTGCCGTCACTTCACTGCCCCATGGAGTCGTACCACCTGCATAGTAGGTGATGTTGTGGAACAGGATACAGTGTAACTTGAGTTCCTTGATTCGTGGTGTGATATCGATTCCATCGCACTAAAAATCCGATCCTTCAAATTGATCCTCATGAAAGAGTAATATTTTCTAAATCCAAGAGTAATATTCTTCAAATTCAAAGAATAGCTAAATAAAAAAATTGGGATTGATTGGCATCCAAAGGTTCCTCGTTGAGCACGTCACGAATCCGATTTTTGAAGTTTCAGGGCACACACCTGCTTATTAGACCAATTCGGTAATATGAGCAGATCTGATGCCCCAGAAGTTTCTATTTTTGTTTCCCGACCCTGACTATCACATCCATCTTACAGCAAGCAACTTCACCCTCCCCTACTTCAACGTAGCCATCCCAGCTATCCAATAGTCACGAGGAAAATGGCATTCCAAGGCATTCCAAGGATTAGTTCTTGAAAGTACTTTTTCAGATATCAGTTGAGATTTGCAACAAATCCGGAAATTTCTGATGCTCAGAACACTTAGTACATTTCCTGCATAGCGAGGTAATTTCTATGAAAAGCCTTTTCTGGCAAATGCTCAGCCAAGTGCACTTGTCAGAAGCTTACGCTTCCTCGAACCATGTCCTTTGAAGTTCACTTTCTGATGTGATGGTGACGTAAAGACTAAGAGGCTATGCAAAACATCAAATGTCATACATCTGAGCCTGAACGTCACAGTACAGGACGGAGGAGGAGGAGCTAGTGCATGCTGAGTGACACTCTACCACGCGCATGACCTGGAAATCGCATCCTGGGTCCATACTTGCCCGAGTTAATCAAACCTTCCATCCCTCCGGGATCGGTTTATTGGTACCATACAGTTTGGGAAGATAAAAGTGATGACTTGTACTTTGGATGGCCATCTCAAGTCATTATATAGACCCCATACGAATTCAAAAGCCTCCACGATTCCGAGTTGAAGCAGAATGCGTGAACACATTTCGAGAAAGATTTGATGATGGGCTGTCAGTAATAAAAACGGACCTCAAGATAAATGTACTCGGATAGATCTTTCCATGTCCTCTTGAACAAATCGATAGTACCGAGACCACCGTAAGCGATACGATTCTTCAGTCGGCTGTTCAGCATCTGTGGATTCGCACCTAAATGAGATGATCAGATTTCCGAAACAAAATTCGATATAAAGCCCGATTTCTCAGAATGCTCCTGTTGATATCAAGGGCATGGCACAACCTATTCTAAAAAGTTCAGGTTGTTTCTGCAGGACCCTAAACTTGTACGGAAAAATAAAATTGGCAAGACATATTCAAAGACTTTGGGTCACTCAAAATACAGTAGACTGCGATGCGACCATTTCTTTCTTAATTGGTTTTATGAACGTTGGTGCAGACGCGGATTTTCCGCACGCCTGAGCGGAACAGTTTACACGTCAGATAGCATTCTACCGTAACCTTGTATGAGATGTCACAGTACTGTACTTGGACCACCGTATATTCGCGACTCGCCAAAAGCTGACTTAAAGACACACATCCTTTTTGACTTACTTCGACTATGATGGAACTGAAGAGCAACATGAGCATCGGCTCCGATAGAAAAGTAGTTGTTCATGACAGTCAGGGGCAGTGACGACTGTACAGCATCGCTAAGCTCATCTGAAGTATCCATCGCACAGGTCTCATTCGGTGACACATGTATTCGCCATCTAAAAAGACTGTGTTCATTCAGCTTACAACTTATTTCCCACCACTTTACTCTATTTTGCTCTTATAAAAATATCTTTTTTTTACCATTATTATTATTATCAGAGTATTCGATAGAGCTACATTGTGCATGTATTCCCAATAAACCACAGAAATGCTATTGATGACTTCAAACATTCCAATGCTATCAAGAAAATCCCAAAAATGGGCATCAAAACTCCTCTACGGGATATATTTTACACCCTCTAACTACTTTTTTTTCACCATCTGTTCATCATTTCCTGTTTTGAAGATACATACATCGTTCGAGCATGGGCGGAGCGTGCGCCAAAATGGGTGGAGTTCACACAGGAATTTCGTGTTCCTTTTCCCTTTAAACCCAGGGATCAGTAAAAATGGAAGAATAAATGCTGATGATAGGTAATTGCGCGATAGTCTGCTTACTGGCACCCTCGCATTCAAGTGATGCAATTAGAATTTAAACTAGCTCACCGATCTAGGTGGGTTACTGTGGTTTCGTGGAAGATCGCCTGAAGAAGTTGGCTCAGTGGCTCGTCCGAAAACGTTCCACCCCATCCCATGCATCTGAAAAACAGTGGCTGATTTGTTAGCAAAAAGGAAAACTTCTAATTCGTAAACCTTACCGAGAGAGGTCATTACCCGTTCCAAGTGGCATGATTGCCATAGGTGGATAGGCAGGCCAATTCAGCTGAAAAGCTTCTTTTAATTATTAAAATTAAATGACATTGGGGCAGGGTAACGTACACTATCCAACGTTTGTAGTACCCATCCAACAGTTCCATCTCCTCCACAAACAAGTATTCGTAATTGTGTTACCAGTTTTCGATAAATTTCTAGACTGGAAACAAAAAAATCAGATAAGTTATAAAAAGGGTTGACAGTACCGTAGCTGAAGAGTTACTAACCCGAATTTTGGTCCTTTAAGGCTCGTTATATCAAAGACTTGTCGTGGATTGAGCAACCAACACAATGTGTGTAGAGCTTTGGAACCCTTAAGTAGAGAAGAC